ATCTCTTCCATTGGCAACTGCGATAATTAAAAACCTTTCGAGAGCAAATTGCTTTAACGATGCGAATCGATTCGTTTGAATTCGCGAAATTCCATCAGCCATTTAGACAGTGCTGCTGTCATCGTCGGCCCTTCTTGCATCGGCATTGTAACAAGTTTAAGTCGGCAGAACTTGCAAATTGGCCGACCCGACGGAAACCAAATTAAAAGTTAAGCTCGGACATTAACGAGATCATTGATGGCATAACGGTGCAATAATATCTATTTTGCGGGAGGCGCGCCCTTTGTCTCGACATTGGCATTGGTATTGGCATCAGCATCAGGATCGGCGGAGAGCAAAGTATAATGGCTAATTGAATTGAATGTAGATTTCAAGTTTTGGTTTCGGTTTGTTTGGGAGTTTTGGGTTGCGGAGTGTGAGAAGAGAAGAGTAGAGGCTGTGCGAGGGTAACGTTTGAATGCTTCGCAGCTGAAAGGGTCGGTTTTGGCTGCACATGCGGTAACTAGGTCTCATTGTTAGGGACACTCGTCCGAACTAAATATTTGGATTTAGCCAGAGAAAGTTGTCCATGGAAATGCTATATCCTTTTCATTAAACCGCTTTATATCCGATCTGGTTTTATTATTGCCGAGTTCAGTTTTATTACGACTCTCGTAAAGTAGTGTGAAAATATTTTGTCGACTTTTGGATGCGCGACGAATGCGAACGGCCGCATTATAATAGTTAATAGTTTCGACTATCGGGAACCGCCGCCATCAGCGAAAGCGGAAACAATTACGGCTGCGAGCGGTGAGATTAGTTAGTTTCCGGATTTAGGGACGGCGGAGATCCGTTAACCTTCCCTAATCCCACGCCTCGCGCCCTAGGATTTGTCTAATTTCGAGCACTTATTTATTTATTCCACCACATAAAAAAAAACCCTAGCTTAGGAATTGCCTAATTTTTGAATCACGACAAACATTTTTACGGCGAAAATATATAAAACACATTCTCCCTTCCCTCATGTAAATTTCCGAGGAACGGCGCCACCCAAATCGACCTCTTCCTAAACGATAAAACATTGTAAAACGAACGTAAAATTCTTTATGATTTTAGCGCCAAAGTTTGAATCTGTTTAGGGAATCCATCGCGAAACAACAGCTTTATACTAAAGTACTTTATTTACGCTCGTCACGTTGTCAATCCAATAAACATTAAAATCTATTTACATGAAAAAAATAATAAAACAACGACGAAGCAAAGCGAAATAACATAATCTGCGGTGCTTTGTCCCGGCAAACAACGAGACCATTGTTTCCATTTATAGTACGCACTCTTCTTACTTTTACATTACTATTCCGATTCTCCCCAATGTAATTACATTCAATTATGCACGGATTTCTCGCAATCTACAATCATCTGCAAATGTAATAAACATAATAATATTATACTATTATGTTTAAACTTTGTCCTACTTATCGTCAATACCGTAAATTCTCGAATTTAGATTTAATATTTTATACTTGTAATAAATTATAATAACAAAAATTCCATATTGGACAAATTACGTAAAAACAAAATAAAAATTGGCTCGTTTCTCCACTAATCGTTAGCAGTTATTAGCTAATTCCTAATGCACGATCATATTATTTTTTGCCACGCAATTAAATTCCCTCCGTTTCGCAAGTGCGTTTTCCATGTTGCTAACCGCTGTGTTAGAACGTTCATTAGTTATTTGTGCAACGAGCGGTTATTTAGAGCGAAAGGGGGAATCCCAATCCAGTACCTCCCCCCGCCTGCCCTTAGTCACAATCCTTTATGGATCCATCCATGGTATATAGAAGGGCGATATCATTGTTGAGCAAACCGCCAGACTATAAACAAAGTTTCAGTTTTCGCTACAATGAATGGATGGAAGAATAAAAGGAAAAGAACTCTGAACAATGAATAAAAATAATTGGAATTCGCGATTTCAATTGCTGTTTATGCTTAAATACAAGCGGACCGGACCGAAAAAGAAACACGCGAAATTAATTAAGAGAATTTCGCTGTCGATTTTTGTTGGCGCTCTTCCTTGTTCCATTTCTTTTTTATTACGTTTCGAGTAAACAGCATGTTTTACGGCAAAACTCAATTTAAATTCCTCGCTGCTCTGCTACACAATGTATCATTACTCATATCTAATGAATACAATTGGCGACGCTTTTTTTTACCTTGAATTCACTATTGATACATTTTTAATACTGTTAGCTTTACATTAAAAAGAAGCGTGGATAATTTCTTTACTGAGTTATAGGATAATTAATTAGATATAAGTTATAGATAATAATGAAAAATAGTTAGAGTTAAACCTAAATATGAATTATTTTTAGTTTTTATAAATAAGTTAATTATGGTGATTTGAGTTAAACAAATCTACTTGAAGATGAATCAAGAAATTCCGATTTGAAGAAAGAAAAATAAAAATCAGCGCATGTTACTTTTATAATGAAGCGGGACACGTGTCATCTAGTTAGCTTAACAACCAGGAAGTGTCTGCATCGACTGAAGTAAGATATGCTTTGAGATAAACGAGCTTATCAGAATTAGGGAATAATAGGGGAACTAATATTATTATTATGTTTTAATCTAAAGTTACGTATTAAGTAAATCGATTTTTGGGTAAAAATGAAAAAACTAGTTTATTGAATGAATAAAAATATTTATGTAGAAATTAATATTGTTTTCGAATGAATTGATGTATTTGTTTTTACGCTTTATCTTTATTGACAGGATGCGCGTATATCGTAAATTTGCATTTTTAACCAACCGGAAACACAACACCAAAAGAGCTATTGAATTTTGATCATCTTTGTTTTCAATTAAGGTTAAGCAATAATAATCTCGATTAAATAATAAACGATGCTTTAAAAACGCGAATGAAAATATGCATTGTGTTTGCTGCAGCTGCTATTTCCGAGCTTCAAGTAGAAAATTAATATAAGAACGCTTCCGTTATATTAGTAACGTTCGGAATTAGTATTGAAGCAATTAAATTCAATGCGGCGCGACGTGTTTGCGAAGGGAACTAAGAATATGTAAGGCAATATCCCCATGAAACTTCATTATTTTTAGCTAAAGTGAAATAATATAATCATATCGGCAGTTTTGTTTCGAACTACAAGATGTGTAACAAAATAAAAATTCGATCGCCCGGGGATTTCGATTCGCTCAACCGACGGTCCGTGAAGTTTCCAAATTAGTGTATCCAAATTTCTCGAAGTAATCGCATTTATTGTGGCGATAAATAATGTTTGCGAAGTGAAATTAACGGGGCAATCAATTTGGGAAATTAGACCTAAGCACAGATTTCCAACTTCCTTAATGACACAGACACAGTTATTAGGCGTTAACTAGACGGAACCAGTTGGGGATTAGGTTTAGGATTTAGGATTCCGATATCGAATTTTGGCGCTACTATTTTTAAATATATATATATATATATATATATATGTTATATTGTATGTGAGTTTTAGGTTTTATTAATTTGTGGTTTAGACGGCTGCGTTGATTATGTAACATATATATTTAATAGCTGGATGGATGGGAAGTGGACGCGACAAGCGGTGATGATATTGCGGTTTGGCGGGGCACGTCGGACGTTCGAAGGGAGGCGGCGGATTTCGCACATACAAATGTATCCCTGTCCCCTCCAACGTTTTGCATTAGGCGTCGTGCATTCCGTGTGCACCAGATAGAGAAGAACGTTTGTTTCGTTATCAACGGAACGGCGTTTTGGCAGGGAACAACGGAAAGATTAAAGCGGCAATAACTTTTGCAGCTCTTGGTTTACGGCGGATACGCCCGTGTGCATTAAACACCTCCGCCTCTCAACCTCCTCCGCCACCTCATCCTCAAAACGTCGAAGCCGCCGAAACGCGACTCCTGCTGATATTTTACTTTTTTTTTCGCTTCTTCTCTCCTTCCGATTAATCAACGCGTATCCTGCGCTTTTGTTGCGTGCATGCACCGCAAACAGGAGAAAGGTTAGCGTTCTTTTGTGCCATTTCCCTCTACCCATTTTGTGCGCTCCGCACACCCAGCTAAACATTTATAATGGTTGCGCAAATCCAATTTGCCGACTACATTTTGTAAATTACCATCAAATTACACCGATGCGCGGATCTACATATAAAGCTCTGACAAATTCCGCGACCCGCGAAAATACGCGCTCAATTTTATACTTTTCACATTACATAAATATTTTTATTTGTGTTAATTTTTGGTTAAAAGCCAAACATTCTTCTTAATATCCTTATCCTAACGATGAAAAAAAAAAGAAAATATCCCCCCGTATTTGGAAATCAAAGGTACTAAAAATCCCGCATTGTTCTGCGAGGGGACCTTTTTTTTTCTTCACGAAGAGGTAAAAATTCCTGTGAAAGTGTGTTTGGAAATACCCGGCAATGATAATTGTATTAGCTGTTACGTATAAATTGAGCTTTGAGAGAGGCCCCGGAATGCGTCGCTTCTAATCTTGATGCTGGCGCACATTATGCATGCATGCATCGGTTTTCACAGCTATCTGTCTTAGACGTACTCCGGTGACACCTCGAGTGTCTGATAAGATCACCCATTACTCTGTCTACTCCAGCTACCTCAAATCAGCACGAGAAGAGATACAACAACACCGAAAAAAAAAACGCACGAGAGGAGGAACGGTCGGGTGGAGAGAAAGAAAGAAAAAAAAAACATGTGTCTGGATGGCCTTGCAGGAGGCGTTTCTTGTTTTAATTTAAATAGCGCGCTGTTTGTACAGCGAAGTTAGTAATCAGAAAGCGACGGATATATATGCATGCATGTGTGTACACGTAGATCATCCACCCTCGGGTTGCCAATTGAATCAGCGGTATAAACTTTACTTTGTTTAGGATCTCCGATCGGTGGATACTACTAAAGTTCATCCTACTTGATCCCGCGCGCGCGGAATTCCTCCGGAACTATCTACAGAGATAGACTACTACTGCTGCTACTAGGCTTACCTTTAAGATGACAAAATCCATGTATGCAGATTGATGCTTGGGACACTTCGGGAATTGCACTGAGATCTCTCTCTATCTCTTCTTTTTTTTCTTATTCTAAATATAAATCTCTGGATGTTTATCAAATTCTTCGCCTAAACTCGTATTATTTATCTGGGCAGAGGTATTGAGAAGCAGGACAACCTTCCGCGGGAGCTGCTGCTGAAGAACAAGAGCAGCAGCGTTGGAGTTTGTTGCGTGGGTGAACTGGCGAGCGGAGACCGAGCGCTGTTTGGTGCTGCTTTGTGCCGTGTCCGCACTAGCAGAGACACCGAGGGAGACTGATGCGAGCGACTCTGGTGTGCAGTGCTTGGGTTCTGCTGTTCTGCCTTGCTGTTCTGCTTCTGCCTTGCTGTTCTACTCTGTACTCTGTCCCTCTGCACCCTCAACAGCCGCGCACTCCGATCCACCTCCGCTTCTCCTCAACTACCGTCCGGACCGTCCATCCATCCAGCCATCCGTTCGTCTTCATCAGCAATACTCGTTCATTATCTCATATTGTTGATAGCAGAGTTCACGGGCCTCCGGCAGCTGAGATGCACCTAAATTGCCCGAAAAATCAAGCTTCACGATAACAAATGTAATTGTCTGGAGGTGCTAAACGCATTCGACTACCTGGCAAATCAATTATCCTCTCGTTCCGTTCCTTTGAGTCCTACCCTCCGCAACGCAACGTACATTGAAATCGTATTAAAATTGCGTAATCCCTTAATGCACACAACAAGTTGGCTCTTTGACGCTCCTAGTTTTTGCTTTTATTGCTGTTGCTGTCTGTATGTGTGAGTATGCATGTCTTCATTTACCACGGATTAAACACAACTTCCAACTACCATCGCGCCGTGCTAAAATAATAATAATTTAACAATGGACGTCTATCTTTATACTGTCTGGAAAGAACGTAGAAATACTGTTATTAAACAAAGTTCATGCGTAAGAACAATGTTTATTACGTTGATGCATTCCCCGAAACAACTTGATACTGCTCATCTCTCACTTCTTTTAATATTACAAAAAAAATAATAATGAACGTGTAAGACCTTCAACTTTAAATACGTATTATAATTATAATAAATTACATTTCATTCATAATTTCCAAGTAAAAACTTATCTTCAAAACTTATTTACAATTTTAAACGATTATTAATAATCATGATTTATATTTTAAAACAAAAAATTCAAATTAATTAAAAATCTGATCATGACAAAAAAAATAATAAAACTTTATTATTATTGAGTATTTTGTAGGCAATAGTACAATATTTCCATCATTGTGGAAATATTATTGTAGTTACCATATTTTTTGTTCAGCATAAGGCAGATGTATTTAAGGAAATTGAGTACCTGCAAATGTTATACTAAATAAACGTGACAACAAAACAGTTCAAGAGAAGTGCTTCTTTGTGAAAAGAAACGAAAGAAAAAAAGGTTTCCGTTAAAGGAAATTTTACGGTATTTACAAGACTTTACAAAAAATTTTCAAAAGTCTAAATTTCACAATTATTTAAAAAAAATTGAGGACATTTCAAGAATTCTTACATTGCATAAAATTCTGAATAATATTTATGTAACATATACCAGAATTATTTTTTTTATATAAGTAGTCTTCTCATATATGTAAAAAAAGATACAGATTTTGAGGAAAGCAGATCCGTTCCCAGCCATTGAACCATGTAAAACGAGGCAAAGACCAATGAAAATATTAAGTTACTTTAGAAAAAAAAATTAAAAAAAAAAACAAATTTAGGGAGATGCATTTCTTTCGATTCCCGTTAGGAGTGACGTTGTAATAGAAGTATTTTATAAGTCCAATCGTTGTCCTTAAAAAAGGATTTGGTATATATGCATATTTGAGTTGCAATCCCGATTTCAACTTTATTTATTATTGAAAATAAGTAAGCGGAGTAGAATATATGATTATAATCAGGTTATGAAAAGGTTGGTATTTGATTTGTAAGTCCAAATAATAGAAAGCAGATAAAACGGAGGAGACGCTTTGCAATGCACTCGAATGCACAAGGAATCAAGTGGACAAGGATACCTAAGATACTCGAAGAATGGAATCACATCAGCGGAGGCACCTCTTCCGATGCGACGGAAACGAAGTCCACTTCTTTATTGCATGTGCAATAGTAATAATAATGTTACATGCTGAGTTGATGAGATGAAATTTTCTATTTGTATCAATTGATTGCGAATGTATCCGCTTCAGTTTGCTTTATACTCTATTAATTACGAGCACGTGTCCTTTGTTTCGTAGACTTTACGATAAATGGTAAAGTTGTACAATATCAACCGAATTTATGTAAACGTACAAAAGGATGTGGATGTGCTTCAGTATCGATTGTATGAAAATATACAGAACGAACAATCATCACTCGAATAAAAGCATTTCTTTGCAGCTTACAAAACGCGTTACACAAATTGACGTGTCTTTTTCGATGAATAATTGAAATAACTTGAATTGAGTGATTGATTACGTTGCACGGAGCGACATTTATTAAAAGCATTTACGTGTTCATTGGTTTGAGCATGGGAAACATACGAAAGCATTGGAATTGTTTCTTATTTTTTATTTATTTTGCTTAGCGAAAATTCTTTCTTTTGTTTTATCTACCGGTATGTTCGGTTCGGAGTTGTAACAAGCTTAATCAATATTTGCGCAAACGGTAAAATAATTAACCGAACGTCCTTTTTCGACCGGCCGTTCGATAATAATCATAATAACATAATAGCAGCGCTAAATAATGGTATGATGCACTTGTTACGGATTTGAGCGTGATAATGATGTGACAGGAAAAAGGGAGACGAGTATTTTGTACTGTACTGTACGGTCGACGTGTTTCGGAAACGCCGCAAAAACGTTATTTTCCAAATAAATTTGTAAATTTTCCAAATAATCATATGCGAATTGTTTACGCATACTACATTCAACGATATTCGGATTCGCAATTGTCCGAAAGAACAATACGACAATAAACATATATAGAAATAATGATAGTCTCTGCAACACTCATCAACATGTTTAATAAACCTCTTGTTTCAAGTGGATTCCAATAAATGAAAATAATATTTATTAATTATTGTTCGTTTCATAAAACTAATAACAGCCATGGAATTTTAAAAGCTTGCTGTTTTTCGCATTGTTCTATATTAAAATTTCATATATTCGCTTTTCATCAATAAATACTATAGCGCCAATACTCTTTGTTAATGTACAACTCGGACGTGTGAAAAAATTGGTTTCAATGGAATGTATACATTAAAATAGTTAAATAATAAAATAAAATCACTTGAATTCAAATACAGAAAATTTTATTATCAAAAAAAAAACTATTATTTTTTTAATAATAATATTATTTAAAGAGATTTTTAAATTGTATTTTAAACGCAATTCGTTATCAAAATAAAATTTTATTAACATTATAAGAAGATTTGAATAGTTTTTAAATTTTAATTTTTACTGAAAATATTGAGAAATGAGTAAAATTTATATCTTTCTTGCAAATAATTAAAAAACAAATGGATAACCTCAAATTGAACACTCTGTAGATAATTGTGTATATATATTTAAAGAGTATTTATTATGAAACGTTTCCTACTCAGCTTCGCGTGGCGGAAATTAAAAAGTTTTGCGCAAAATAATTTACAGCGAGGGTTGTTGCTTGCACACCTTTGGAGCATCTGCAAAACAGAAGGGAGATTATAGGGGGAGGGAGGTGGTTGCGTTTTATTTGATTTTTTTTTTTTGACCGTTGTGCTTTCTGTTTACTATTGTGAGAGAGGGTGGAACATGCAAAGGTGGCGGCTGCGGCGGCGTCAGAATCGATGTTGAAAATTTTTATTTATTTTTTGTCCGTGCATCAAAGATTCAAGCGCACCGCGAATTTGCATGCGTGAACATCGGGTCCGATGAATAATTTATCGAAATTAATGTGGACGGTCAGCGGAATTGGACGGTAATTAATATAGGTTATTAATATTAATGGGCCCGAGGTAGAGGAGGCGGCACACGGTGGGGTTGAAACTCACCCCTCGTTCCGTTCCCTCTGCGCTGGACCCTCGTGTGCTTCGCGGCGCAGTGGAAAACGCGGTAATTGCAACTTGAATTGTCAAAAGGAAATATTTAAAGGTCGCAGTAGCGAACACCTTATTAAACATTGTGTAGGGATTCATGAGATTCTTGGTGGAAATAAATACACCAAACCCATTCGCAACTCTTCATACTTTGTGTGCGTCCCGTATTATTTTCTTTTTACTTTCTTCTCTCTCTTTCTTTCTTTCTTTCTTCGCGTTCTTCTTCATCTCTTCTGTTTTCGCTGAATTTTTTCTGCTATAAGGCACCGAACCGTAGAGTAGCTTCTTTGGGACATCGTGCATTGTTCGTGTAGTGGCTGAAAAGGAAGCAGTTCAAACGCGTGCATCTTTTTTTCATTAGGCTGACACAATGCGCCAAGAAAACGCTGCGCGCTGCCAGAGGTATCAGCATTTAAAATTCATCACTTAATTGACACGGCTTCGAACATATACGTTGAAGCTGCTGCATCTTCCGCAAATTGCATTCTCAAAACCACCATACTTTTTCCTATTTACATTCACATACAATTGTTATCATCTCATAGTTAAGCAATATATTATTTTAGAATAGTCATAAATTGATATATTCATAAATTGATAAATGAGATTATTATCGATTATTGGTGTTATTTCATATTATGTAATGAAATGAAAGATTGTTATTTGAATGTTATTAACAGATGCTATGAAGATTAAATCTGTGTGGTAAAGTATGGAATCGGTTTTCCATTTTACCCTCTCATAAATCATGTCGACGATGTCTGTGGAAGAGGTGGGTGGTTGGTTGCTACTTATCTCAGGTAGGTGTCGCAACGCTGGACGAGCTCGAGTTTATATTTATATAATAGGATGGATAGATGGTTGTTTTTGATGAAGTTGGCTCGTTAATGATGGAACGGGGGGAAAAGAAATGTTATCGCGTGAGGCGGAACAAAGTTTTGTGTCAGGCGATAGTACGGGTCCCCTTTGTTAAGTAATCGCTTATTCCGCGGGAAAAGTAAGAGAACTAGATCATCTTTTATTGCGTTTTCTCGAAGGGCGTTTTATCATCGATGCCGAAGAACTTCTAATGGGTCTGTAAATAAAAGCAGCAAGAAGAATCGATGTAAATCTGTTTGATATGCCGATATCGAGAGGGCAAAGGAAGGGACTAATCCATCCCGACGTAGACGTGACACCGACACAGTCCCAAGAGACTAGCAGCTCTCTCACAAGCTCTATCAGATTTACAGTTTATATTATTAAATGAACGTCGGTGCATCATCATCATAGTCATCATCATCATCCCTAGCACTAGATGAGATTAAGACCGGAGCAATGAGGCTCTCTTGTGTGTCACGGTA